ACTAACTAAGGTAGCATCATCATCATTATCATCATATAAAATTAGGATTAGCTTTAGTGTACTTTCTAAGATTATGTGCTTCAAAATATTTTCTCCAAAATTCTATATTTTGAGATCAGGTTCAAATCTTGGTTAAGTTTGAATTGATATTTTAATAATTTATACATATAAGTTAAAAAGGTAGTTATAATATGTGTATATTCTAAATATAATATATTATTTTTATCTGCCTTCAACTAAATTTAAAATTTAAATCATTGAAGTTCAAATCCACTTATTTGAAAATATTGTTATTTTATATAAGGAAAAATTAATTCCGCAACCCTTATAATTTCACCTAATTCTTACATAAGTCCTTAGGCTATGTTTGCCATGCAACAATAAGTAGTTGGGTTTAGGATTGGTATTGGGAATGGCTCAATTTAGTATATTTGGTATAAGGTATTGAGCCTCACTTGAGTTTGCTTAAACTCACTTAGATGGGATTACTTAAACCCACCTTCCCTTGATAGTTTTTCTTATTTTCTTCATTTGTCCTCCTCCTTCAAAATCATTCACCATGGACCAATGCACGCTTGACTATCATTAGAGAAGATTGAGGTGGCCCATAGCTGTATTAATATAACAAGTAGAGGTGGCAAAAAGGGCCAACCCGGCCCTGTAGGGTCGACCCTTGAAGGGCTCGGGCCTAAAAGGGCCAGCCATTTTAAGTCCCAGTTTCTTTTAGGACCCTGATATTTGAAGCTCGACCCTTGACATAACGGGCTCAGGGCTGACCCTACGGGCTTTAAGCCCTTTTAACTATTTTTATTTTTTTAAAATTTTTTTAATCAAACAAAAAATTACTTCATTCTAATATAATACTCAATCAAGAAAGGTACAAAAAAAACTAATTAAATAACATCTAAATGAACTAAAAACACAAATAAAATAATAGTAATGCAATAAGCAATAGATCGGCTAAACCAACAAACACTCAATCAAAATTAGAAGGGTAAGTGTTGAATTGAATGAATTATTATCATGGATTTAGATGAATTAGGAGATTTAAAATTGTATTTTTTTTAGAAAATAGTAGCCTAGGATTTTTGTATGAAATTTATATCAATTAAGAATCAATTGTTGTCAAAATCTGAATGAAAAACAAGCTACAATGAACTATTGTTAATTTAAAATAAGTTGTTATTAAAATCTAAATGAATACTTATTGATAAAGGCTAACCCAAATCTACAAATATCTACTCAAATTTTGACAACAAGTGATTCTTGACTGATATAATTTTTGATCAATGATTCTTCATTGTTATTTTTCCTTTTTTTTTTGCCTTCCATCCTCAGTAAATATGGGCTAATATGTGATGTGAAGTAAGATTTAGTTTAATTTTTTTTCAAATTTAAAAAAAGTAAAAATTATGAGAATTAATTAAAAAAATGTATATATAGTCTTAAACGGGCTGGCCCTCGGCCTTGTAGGGCCAACCCTTTTAAGCCCTAAATTAAATGGGGATTTATTATTTTGAAATTCTATTTATAAGCCCGGTCTTACTATTATATGGGCTTAAATGGGCTAGCCCGATGAGCTCGTCCCGTTTTTCTAGCTTTAGTGGCAAGGAGGACATTAAAGATCAAACAAAAGATGATAAAAAGCCTTATACATCAATCATGTTGGCACATCGTCTTCTCAATTTTATTCGGCATCACCGTTGACACCGATGAGCAACGAGCAAGAGCATCGTCTTCTCAACTTCCCTTTCTCCACTTATATTTATCATTGGACCAAATTTAAATGATTGAGATTTAATATCCACAAAAGATGACCATGAACACAATACCATCACAAACCATTTTTAATTACTTAAAAAATAAATAAGTATATAACACACTCCCTCCGTCTTAAATTATAAAATACTTTTAAACTAAATCTTACATATCAATAAATTTCATTAAGTACACTTAATAATTTTATTTTTTCAAAATAAAAATATAAATTTTTAAAAATACTCATCATTTAATATATTTAAAAAAGAATAGATGAAAATTAATTATAAAGAGAGAAAAATAATATTAAAAATAATCTATTTATTGAAACCTTAATCTACTCAAATTATTTTATATATTGAGATGAAAATTTTTTTTCAGAAGTGTTCACTAATTTGGAATAGGGTTAGTACATTTGAAACTTTTTAAAATAATTGAATGATGATAATTAGTATGTATGACTAAAAGTTCCAAATTCCATTACACATTATAAACAAAGCGTCCAAAATCAAACCCATTACAACCAAAAAACAATAGGAGGCATTCTATAAACATAATTTTTTCAGGGATTGGCAAGTATTTTGAAGATAATCTTTTAGAGGTCAAACTTTTCCCCAAAACCAAAAAAAAAAAAAAACACACACACACACACACACAAAATTTATTTATTTATTTCAAACCCAGAATACGCACAAGTGTTCAAACTGATATCAGGAAACATTATTAATTGATCACATTTCTGCAACAAAAAATCCTCCATTATTACACAAGCTGATGAAACCAAAAATAATTTCTATCGTTGATTTTAAATTATTTTTTAAATATTTTAGATATTACATTTGTGAAAATAAAAATTATGAAAAGTTATTATTAAATCTTGAGTGTTTAAAATATATTTAAATAGTCAATCTATAAAAATTATAAACAAATTTTATATTAAATTTGATCGTTTAATTTATATCTAGATTGTGCAAATTATATCTGGATGGTCGATTTATAAAAGATATAAAAAATTTAAATTAAATTGAACCATCTAGATTAAATTTATACTGATAAGATTGATTATCAAAATATATATTGAAAAATTGATCTTTTTATGCATTTTTATTTTGATAAATATAAAATTAAAATTAAAATCTGGATTATCCAAATATTGCCAGAAGTGATATGTATGATAGTACTCATCATGTAACAAGCAACAAAAGCAATCTAAATTTAACATTAAAATTTTTTATAATTTTTATTTTCACAAATATAATATTTAAAATATTTAAAAATTAATTTAAAATTAATGACAAATATTATTTTAAGACAAATGAAGGGCCAAGATTATCCCTTGGGGATGATGAGCATGTCGTGTTCATCAATTTGATGGGCAAGGAATGTGGATCCCTCATTATTTACTTGGGAAAACATTAGTGCTTACAATTTTATTTAATTTTAAATTAAATCCTATAATTTATTTTATTTTAATTAAGTCTTTATAATTTAATTAACTAAAAATTTTAATTTCTGAAAATTAAAATCCTTACATATTTCTTTTAAAAAAATAAAGTTAAGAATCTTTTATATTTTTATTAAATAATTATATGACTTTAGAATTAATTACATAATTTTTATATCTCAAAATTTATATAATTAAGTTGTCTTCTAAATATTTGTTATACATGTAGAATTTTAATAAATACATAAACAGTGGATTACATTAAATTTTATTTTTTATTTTAGCTAAAGGTATTAAATTAAGCTGCAAACTCCAAGAGTATTTTTATTTTGTAAAATTTAATAATTTATTATTAATTTTAACTTTTAAGAGTCAATATATATAATAGATAAAACTATAAGGGTTTGATTAAAATAAAATAAACTGCAAAAACCTAATTTAAAATTGAGTGAAATTGTAAGAACCTTCAAATACATTTTTCCTTTTTATTTTCAAAAACTATTTTATAAATTAATTTTTAAAAATTATTTTTCAAACAAAACAAAATAAAAATATATTTGATCATGTTAATTTGAAAATAATTTTGAAGTTAAAAAATTGGCTAATAGTGATGGTTGCCCATGATTAATAATGATGGTCTATGATAATGATTGGACATAATTAGAAATAATTTATAATAATTAATTGTATGATGTAAAAAATGAATTTTTTTTAAAATATTTCCATTTTTTTAAAAAATTAGAACAGTTTAAAAAAGATAATTTAAAACACTTACATAAACAAATTATTTATTTATTTTTATAAAGAATAGAAGCTTTTTTTTAATTACTTAATTAAGTATAACTCAGGCACTCCTGCCAAAGTAGAGTTTGAGCTTTGAAGAAGGTGGCATTTTCATATTAAAAAAAACCGAAATTAAAGGCCCCCTAAATTTTTAATTAACCATACCTTCAATAAGTATTTGAAGTTTTCAAAGTACTATAATTTAAATAAAACAAGTTAATAATATAGATCATTATATTAAAAATAAATAATGAACTATATTGTTTATTATAATAATAAGGATGCACAAGACAAGAATAAAAATGATAATGAAGAATTGAAGATAGCTCATTGATCTATGATGACAAATAACAAATGAGCACTCAAGTGTATGGGCATGTTGGACTAGCAAGGCATGATATATTTGTGAGAGCCGATTCTCTCAACTTCCCTCTTTCTATTTATATTTTTTATTGGACCAAATTTAAATGATTGAGATTTAATATATCCACAAAATATGACCGTGAACAGTATCATCACAAACCACTTTTTAATTACTTAAGAAAATAAATAAGTATATAATTTTCATGTGAAACTCAATTAATGATAAGAATTAGCATGTATGACAGACTTCCAAATTCCAATATACATCATAAACAAAGAGCCCAAAATCAAGAATTACTGTTTACCAAGGGCTTGGTTTCATCTGAGCCCTTGATTCCATCCCTAATTGATCTTTATTGTTGATTATAAATTTAATTTTTAGTATTTTTAATATTGTATTATTAAAATAAAAAATTATAAAAATTTTAATGTTAAATATATATTTTACAAAGTATATCTAAATAATTAATTTATAAAAATTATAAAAAAATTTAATATTAAATTGAGTTACTCAGATAACATGATGAATGTGCAATTGCATCAGAATAATAGGTACATTTCTTATCCGAATAAAAAGCCCCAAATAATCCACACAACAGCAACTAAAATACGTATCCATCTTTGAAAGAAAACTGGATAGCCTGGCATCATAGACAAGTCAAATAAAGCTATAAACATCTATTATTGCATATCCGCATTCATCATTCTTGATAAAATCACCGAAGGACATGAAGCCTTATGGTTATAGAATGAACTAAACTCTTATAGGTTCATTTCCTCCAAAGTTCTTAAACAAAGTAACTACATAATAATCAAGATTTTGGACCAAAGCTATTCAATGTGGATGTTGCCAACTGGTACAAGGCTTTCAGTATGCTTGAAAATACGAGAACCAAGGGAAAATTTACTGATATCAAGCGTCCTAACTTCATTAGTTGTGAGATTGAACATAGAAATTTTCCGTTCATCTACATAATACTCTGCTCCATCTTCAACTTGACGGAGCGCCACAACATTGCATACAATTTCATTCTTCCAGATAGTCTTTGGCATTAAACCCATGCCTAGATAAGGGGTTGGTGGTATATTTCTTGGTCCAACTCCATCTCTCCCTATCTGTGCCACCCCCCTCCTCCATCACCCCCAAATGAACCAAACACGATTTGGAGTCTCCACTCAAAGAGGCAGAAAGCACAGAAAGCTTGTTCTCATATGCAGTAAGATGTGTAGAAAACGATGTAATTCGATCTGAAAAGGGTGAAGAAGGCGCTGGAATCAATGTAAACTCTTCCATTGCTATGTCAAATGAGACTATCAAATAAATATCATCTTCATCCTCCTCTACACCTAGCATTGACCCGATCCAAAAGATAGCTCCATTAAAAGCGAAACCATTAGAAGCAATAGCTACACCATCTAAGTTGTCAAATTCTACTTCCTTCTATGACCCTATGCTTAATGAATATACTTCTCTACTTGATCAACCAGATCATTTCCAGAAACAAAAATTTTCACTATCTTGTAAGCATTGACAGTTGGACTGAATCCAAATCCTAGACAGAAACCTCTACGTATATCAAAAGCTCCAGGCACCTGTCTCACCTGTCTAATCGCAGGATTCCACAATAAAAGGGAAACAGAAGGAGGATCATTACCGAGTCCAAGACAGATCAAGCCATTGCAGGAATCGATGGTCCAAACAAAGCACATAGAATCGATGAAAGGATCGTTCTGAACTTTAAGGAATCGCATCTCACGATCGAGCAAACATATGCGAAAAGGATCAGGATCTTCGAAAAGAAGAGTGAGGTTTCGATGAGAGTGGTTATGGAGGTGTTCTTACATGAAAGATTGGGTTTTGAAGAGATTTTTCCAATGTTTGCAGACACATTGAAATCGGATTAGGGATTTTACCGGAAGCCGTACGAGAATGTTGGTAATGATATCTTGGGGAAGAACTGGGCTGTCGCCATCCATTTCCATTTGCGTCAGTGCGCTCGACAGGGAAGAAATAATCTCTGAGTCAGGACTTAGGAGAGGGCGATGGAGCGATGACATTGCAAGGTAACTTGGGGCTGCCGAAGAAGAAAATAAAAGTAACGCACTGAAAAACCAAAGCGGTCATTCCTTTCCACTGATAGAAATTAGGAGCCAGGAGTGAGCGATTCAACCGGGTCGAACCCGGGGTCAACTCGGGATCCAACATAATAATTAAAATAATATAATTAAATTAAATTATATAAAAAATATTTTTATTTGACTAAAAATAATATATAAAAGATATTTTGTAAGCCATAACATTTTTTAAGATATGGGCCAAAAAATGTAGGATGAAATGCATAAAATATATAAGATTAAATAAAAATAAGTTTTATTTTTTCTACCCAATATTCATTTAAAAAATCATAATAATAAAAATAAGAAAAAAGCTAATGTAATAGAAAAAAATAATGATAATAATAATAAAATAAATAAGAAATTAATGAAATTAAAAGATAAGAAAAAAATAAAATATAATTGAAGATAAAAAATACTAGGATTAAATGGATTAATACATTGGAGAAAAAAAATATAGAAATAAAAGTCAGTAACCGAGGAATGAGAATCCAAAAAGTGAGTTGAAATATTGTGTTAATAATATTATTTTAAATGTTATTTAATTTAGTTAAGTGATGTTCTAGACTCCAGGATATTAAGTATGCCTAGCTGAAAATTTCGAGTATAAATTTATACATCAACCTAATATAAAATAAAATGATGGAGTTTTAATAATCAATAAATAAATGGCTTTTCATAATAAAACCATTAAAAAGTAATATATATTTCTATCAATAAAGGATTGGTTATTTTTTCGGTTAATCCTGGCCAATAGAAAATAGTTTTAAAAAAAAATCAAATAGTCCTTAATGCTTGCTTGGTTTATTCGCATTTTTTATTTTCAAAAAATATTTTATAAATCAATTTTAAATTCAAAACACAATAAAATAAAAATATGTTTTATGATGTTAATTTAAAATTGATTTTAGTTAAAAAAATCGATCAAGAGTAGTGCTTGTCAACAGTTAATATTGATCCCCCATGATAATGGTTACACATAACTAAAAGTAATTTATAATAGTTAAATGTAATGTGTAAAAAAAACCTTTAAAATAAAATTTTTCCATTTTTTACCTTTTTATTTAAAAATTTAGAACAATTAACAAAAACATTTAAATTTAAAACACTTGCATAAACGAATTTATTTATTTTTTATAACAAATATCATTTTTTAAGTAATTAAGTAAACATAACTTATGCACTCACCTGCAAGTAGGGTTTGAACTCTGAACCTCACACTTGAAGAGAGGTGGCACTTCCATTAGAAAAACTAAAAAAACTAAAATCAAAGGCTTTTTAATTGTTTTTGGAGTAAATAAATTTAACAATCGTTGCAAAGGCAAGAAAAAATAAATTGGCTAGGCAGAATGGGTTGGGGTGAAATATAATATTCCTTCTATTAAAAAATATAAGACATTTTTTAGAGAATTAAATGTTTAAAAATATAAAACATTTTTAATCTTTCAAGATATAATCATTGTGTCTTTTTAAAAAGTGTCTCTATTAATGAATGATTGTATATTTATTGTAAGATGTTTAATAAAGGTAAATATGAAAAGATATAGTTAGTTTGAAAGTAGATAACTACTTTATTGGGATAAGATTTGATTAAAAATACCTTATATTTTTTAATAAATGAAGTAATAATTTTTCAATCACCATACAAAGATTGAAAATCTCAACGGATTACACGAGAAGTAATTTGAAGATGTTTATAGCATAGTTGCCCAAAAACAAAAACAAAAAAAAAACATGTCTGTAGTATGCAATCCTGGGACATAAGATTTGTGTTCAAGGCCATTTATTTCACAGTGCTGAGGAGAAGTCTTTTCTCACCATAAATAAATGAAGGTGAAAATTAATCTTCAATTCATTAAAATTTTTAAATTTTAAATTAACTTCATGCAGGTTATTTTATTTTAATCAACCTTTTATAATTTCATTCATTAAGTATGTCACATCTTGTAGATTAAAATTATTAATAAATGATTAACTTTCTCAAAAGAAAAATACTTTTAAGATTTATAAAAAAATATGATTTAATAGTATATTTGCATTTTAATAAATTTTGGGCTAAATTACATACAACTTCTATAAACTTTGAACCATATAAAAATAATTCATGTAGCCTTTAAAACTTAATAATAAACTTCACTGAATTTTCAGGTTTATACAAATAACCTCTAATTATTAATTATATACTCCTTTAAACTTTATTTTTATATGCATTTAAGCCTCCATTCTTTGATTGATATATGAATAAACCCTTAACTTTAAGTTATATATAGTTAATCAATGTATAAAATTAATCGTATAAAGTTATCTATATAAATATAAGAATTGGAGGGGGTTCATTCTAAAATTTCAAAGGTCAAGAAGCTTATGTATATGGTTAAAAGTTTAGAAAAGTAATGTATAATTTAGCCTAAATTTTATATGAAAAATATATATGTAACAGAACTATTTAAAAGGCATAATCTAATTTTATATCAACGGTTGGTGGTATTAGTGGCAACACAACTTTTCTATCTTGAAAGATGCTATAATTGAGATATTAATTTAATGAGTGGCCGGATTTACGTCCCTTACCGTATCTAAATCTGAAAGGTGTTGGTAAAAATTGAGAAATATTTGTGAAATTTATAAATTTGATAATCTCAAGTCAAATCTTTGAATTATATTTATTTTGAATAAAATTTTATGTTACTTTCATTTATTTTACATGCCATTATTATTATACAGATAAAAATTGAACAAACAAAGGGAAATAAATATGTGAAATTTGTTAATTCTCTAATTTTCTAACAGTTTGATTTAATTAATTTGAAATCAAATATTTATTACTTCATAAAAAGGAATCTGATACTTTATTAAAAAAAAAAAAACCATACTTTTTCAGTTAACATCTATTAAAAAATTATTTCTTTTGATCAAGATCCAATAAAAAAAAACTATTTGAAATTCTTATTTCTTTAGATCTTGTAGATTATAAATAGGTGTAAGCTGTGAATAAGAGATCTAAAAAATTTTAATCGAAGAAGTTCTGGAATCCCCACGAAGAGACTTTTAAAAGACGAAGAGTATAGTTTTCATCCACTTTTCTCACATGAGCTGAATTAATATGATGCTTTTTTTTTTTAGATATATAATCATAAATTTAGAACGATGCATAGTTGAGCATAGGAGGAAGAACTTGACGTCATTTGTTTATAATGCAGCTATCATCACATGATTATTATTTTTTTTTAAAGTTCTATATAGACTATATCTTATAAAAATATCAACGTGATGATTTTTATTTGTTTGATTTTTCCTCATATCTTATTTAATTTGATCTTTTCCAATATTTCAATCATCATATATCTTTTGACGAAAAAAAAGAAAGAAAATAATCATATATCTTATGTCTTCTCCTTTTCTCTCCCTCCTTTTTCATCTAAAACGCTGATCCTCATCATCTCCATCTCCTTCTTCCACCTTCACCTTCCTTTTTTCCAACGACTTCTTCCCACGTGTGAAAATGTTAAGTATATAAGTTTTTTTTTTTAACCATCATCAAACATTTTTCATGCTCATTATTCAACTCCTCAAAGCCAACTTTTTTTTTTTATTGCCTAAGGTATCCTGATAACCGGTAACTGTGAGATTAATCTCTCAAAAAATTTGAACACTATTTAAGAAGTTGTTCCCTTTAAGTAATATTTTTTTCATACATCTCTCTAATAATTGAATCCAAATTGTTTATTCAATTGATCTTCAAAACATCATGGGCTACCATGGCTAACAACCCCTAAAGCCTTATTTGATATAAAGCACTGATAAGGTAGGAATGGAATTAGTATTGAACAATCTCACTTTTTGTTATGTTTGGTACAAGATATTGGGAAATTTAATTATTCAATACCACTCACTTTTTGGTGTTGAAAAATTAATCCTGACATTGATTATTTTTGGGACCAAAATACCCTCTACCCCTCCTCGTCTCTCCCTCTGCCTGCCACCCCCGTCTCTCATCTCTCCCTTTGCCCTCCAGCCTTCACCCCTCCTCACAGTCATGACAGCGACGGCGACGGCGATGGCAACACAAGCACAATGCTGATGCTTGAACCAGGAGGAGGAAGAAGAAGAAGAACAATGATGATGCAAAGCCTCTGCCTTTCACCTGTTCTCTCTTGTATCTCCCTTCGTCCTCCAGCCTCCACCCTTGTTTCAGTGGCAACAGCAACACAGGCACAATGCCAATGCTTGAGCCAGGAAGGAAAAGAAGAAGAACAATGATGACGTGAGCCTATGCCCTCCACTCGCTCTCTCTCGTATCTCCCTTCGCCTCCAGGAAGAAGAAGAAGAAGAACAATAATAATGGGTTTAAGCATAAATCGTTGGTGACTAGAAAAAGAGAAAGAGGAAGGTCTTGCTTAGTTGATCTACGTCGCCGGTTGGGAAAGAGAGAAAAGGAACAGCATCACTAGCAAGATAGTGAAAAACCAGAAAAAGAACAACAAGAATAGTGGTCTTTTGAGCCACCGTCGTCGTGCTCTTTGGGGAGAACAAATTGTGTGGATGAGTTGTAAGCCAAAGGTCACATATTTTTCTTTTAATTATTTGAAGGGTATTATAGTCTTTTCATTATTATTTTTAATTGTAAAATAAAATAAAGGTAAACATTCCCTCTAAATATTATTCCATAACAACAACAAAACAACAACAACAAGCCTTTATTCCACTAGGTGG